AGCCGGGCCAAGGAAACACCCACAGCGCGCATCCCTCTCTGGAGGGTCTACGCAGAGTACTATACCAAAGAGCACTTGCAAAAGTCTTGGCAGAGCTGGGAACCCATCAGAGGATGACTCCCTGGGGCACCTGGGTGGCTCAGTGGTTGACCATCTGCCTTTGGTTCAGGTCGTGATCCCGGGATCCTGGGATCGAGTCCCACATCAGGTTCCCCACAGGGACCCTGCTTCCCCCTCTGCCTATGTCTCTGCCTCTCTGTGTGAGAGGCATGAATAAAGAAACAGAATCTTAAAAAAAAAAGATGATGACTCCACCTCAGGGCTCAGCTCGGTGACCCAAGGTCTCCAGAGACAACCACTAGCTCTGTCCAGAGGTGTCCTGGACGGTAGCCATTCCCATCAAGTTAAGGGAAAGAGACACAGCTCCAAGACTGGCTCTGCTCTATGAACTCAAACAAGTTCCCTCCTGCTCCTCAGCAGACCCTCCTCTACAGTTGGGGAGTAGGAATATAGAACCCTCAAGGGCCCTTCTGGAACTGACAGTCCAGGATGCTGTGATTCCAGAAGCTACAAAGGACCCTTGCTCAATTGCTGGTATGGATCAGAAGAGAGTATTACTTGTAAACATTGAGCTGCAAAAAAGAAGAAACCCCATCCCAGGTTGAGGGCTGCAGGGTTCACGTAGCTGTTACAGAAAAAGCCATAAAGTTGTTTTGCAAACAAAGTTAGCTTTAATGAAGCATCTTGTGGATGGATAAAGAGACTCCCATCCTTGAAAAGAAAGGGTCTTTTAAAAAAAATTTATTTATTTGAGAGAGAAGAGAGAGTATGAGCTGGGAGTAGGGGGGCATAGGGAATGGGAGAGAGACGCAGAGGGAGAAGCAGGCTCCCTACTGAACAGGGACCCCGATCCAGGGCTTGATCCCAGGACCCAGATCATGACCTGAGCCAAAGGCAGACACTTAACCCACTAAGCCACCAAGTCGCCCTGAGAAGAAATCATCTTTATTATTTAAAGTATCAATAGGGCAGGAAGACTCCAGTTAAGGTCCACATGCATTAGAAAAGGCTATTCTGGCTAAGATGTCAGAGATTTACAGCTTTATTCACCCCAGACCCACAAAGGACCTGCTTACCGCATGCCAGGCCCTGTGCTGAGGACAGAGAACAACACACCTCTTGCCCACAGAGTGGGTCTGCTCCAGAGAGAGTCGTAAAGAAGACAGTGGTTTACCTCACACAGTAGTTTACCCAGGATGCTCAGGAACATGACAGGTCTGAGAGGTGGGTTGGGCAAGAATTATCATCTCCCTCTTACAAAATGTTAAGTGAGGCTCAGAGAAGAGCACTCATTTGTCTAAGGCCACACAGCCAGGGAGTGGAAGAGAAGTCTGAAAATTCTGATCTTCTGATTGGTGGGCCAGAGTTCTTTCTCTCCGTTTCTGTGCCTATCTACCACAGAGAGCCCAAGACCAAGAGGTTATCATCCCTCAGGGTCTCCTGCGCAGAGTAGGTGCTCCATGAGCATTTGTTAACCAACTGGGTTCTTGGCTCCGCTACTCTAGACAAAGGCTCGATTGCCTCTTTCTAAGCCCTTAATTTACCTGTCTCCAGTTCTTTCATACCGAGTGTTTGTTAAAGGATTGTGGCTTCTGCAAATGGAAAATTCTAAAAGACATTGCTCTTGCAATCCCCTTAAGCCTGCTGGTATTCCGAGCACAAACCTCAAAACATGCTCCTAATTTCCTCTAAAAATTGCAAGCGCTTCTGTCCGTCCCAATGGCAAGAGGACATAGCAGAGCCCAGGAATCAGGCAGGACTGGGTTCCTGTCTCTGGGTCACTTCGGGTAGATAATTGGTCTATCTGGGCCCAAGGGGTCCGGTCTGTAAAATGGAGTTAGTGCTCCCCCAACAAGATGTTGGACTTACCAGATGAAATTCGTCAGGGTCTTTGCCATCTTTGCCACCCCACTGGTTTGTTTATGACATGAGTGGCCTTCTGTACTCCAACTCCCTTCCACAACTGGACTCAAGCAAGTCCACTTCTCTGGCCCATTTACTTCTCTGCAAGAGTTTTCCTACCATCACACTCTCTGGCCCACTGGTATTTCTCTAATACCTGAACCGATGATCAGAATTGAACCATCTGAACTCATGATGGAGAATTCAGAGCCTCCAGAATTATTTGGTCATCTTCTTGGACCTGCTTATTCCATTGGCTGAGCAGCAGGGTTTCCTGCCAGCAGCAGCATTTAGCTCAGGGTGAGTTTGCATACTCCAACCCAAAGGACAGCTCGAAATGAGGGATGATTCCTCTTCATGACTTCAGCTTTGAAGACACAACCGCAGGGACTTTGGGAGCTCTTCCCATTGGGAAAGCACTAGCCTCAGCCATCGGATCTGTCAGTCTCCATAGCTACAGGATCCGGCTCATGAGATATTTAGCGTTCCGCAAAAAAAATCTGAAAGCTGAAAAAAAAAAATCAGTTCTAAAACACAAAACTAAAACAGCAAAATCAAAGTAGATAAATGTTTAACTAATTGTCCAAAAAAATGAAATGTTATGTCATATGCCACTTCGTTAATTGTTAAATTTATCACTTGTGAACATGTCATTACGTTAGAAAACAGGGTGTAGGTTATATGTTCTCACTTGGCACGAATTTCCGAATGGATGGAGAAGGGAAAAAAAGAACTTACTGTAAATTAATCGAGTTACCCATAATTAAATAATTCCAAAAGCAAAATTGCAGAAGTTCTTTAGAATGTTTTTTATAGCAAAAGTAAAGAAAACCCCGTGATGCACAATAAGGAATGACAGAGTCACGGCACATAGGATAGGAAGTTGCGTGAGATCTCCAAGAATGAGGGAGCCAGGGCTTCCAGAGGCCTTTCAAGAGTGGCTGGTCACAAATCATCGTCTGGTCAGTCCTGAGGCTTTCCCCCAGAGGTAGGCACCCACCTAGATGGGTGTAAGGACTTGCAGAGATTTGCCCACCCAAGAATCGGGTGCCATTTTCAAATGCTGGGTCACCCTTTCCCAGCCCCTTCTGCTGAGCATTCCTTCAGCTAATGAAACACAGGTCATCCAGCCCTGGCTGAATATTTACTCAGTACACACCATCCTAGAGTTAAAGGCTGAAGGCCACGCTAAAGTTAAAACATTAAAAAGGAAGTCTTACCTCCTGGGTCAGTGTTAGAATTTTCTGGGAGTGGAATGTGACCCCTGGTGGATTTTAATCACGACAAGTGGCATTACCTGGGACTGAAGCAGAATATTTAGATCGGCTTCCAACCCCGTCCGAGGCTGACACTGCAGAAATTGTTTTTTACTCCCTTCTAGAATTCAGTTTCCATGGCTGTAAAATGGGGGTGATGAGTCCTACCGAGAAATAGTGAGCAACAAAGTGGCTTCTGCTAACACTTCTGGGACCCGAGAAACACTGTGCGGGGTAAGGCAGTTATGCATCATTTAGCCCAGAATTTCTTTTTCACTTAAGTGTAACAATAAAACATTCCCAACTGAAATGATTGTAGCTTCATTGAACATTTTAGCGGTAAATACCGAGATTTAACTGTGAGAAGTTGTATTTCTCAAAGCTGGCCACATTGGTCCGTCTCCCTTCCCGCATGCTCTCCCTACTGTGGGATGGTCAATTCCTCCACTAAGAGGTGGGCTCCGTGCACCCCCTACTCACACCGGAGGGGAACTTTGTAACTCCCTCCAGCAATGCCATCCCATGGAAATGAGGCTGAGTGGCTTCTGAGGCTGGGTCACAAGAGATAATAGAGCTTCCGCCTGACTGTCTCTTGGGACACAGGCCCTTTGGAGCTCCGAGCTGCTATGTAAGCATTCCGGCTACCCTGAAGCCACCATGCTGGAGGGACTGGGACAAGACAGAGAGGATGCCCAAGTAGCCCTGGCGTTAATGCTCAAGATCCTGAAATGGTATGATTATCGTTTTGTTCATGTATTTTTTAATTCTTTTTGCTTACCTCATTTATAAAATGTCTATAGCAAATATATTACTTTCCTCAAAATAAGACATTATTGTTTTTTAATTCCCCTCAAAAGGGGAGTGTTTTTTAACACCCTCTCAAAGCATCATCAGGCATTAGCTAATATCTCCCTGGAATTTCAACAATGGACTCTGCATAATTCACCAAAATAACTGCCCCCCCCCCCCCCAGAATCCTGACAAGCTTATACTAGTGGACAGACTCCAGGAACCATCGAGGTCCTCAGCTGACACAATGGGATCTGAGGCTTGAGTTCACCCATAGTTAGATCCACCAACCCAGCTGAGACCTGAGCATCTGTTTTTTGGTGGGTTTTTTTTTTTTTTTTAAAAAAACATAGGAAAATAAAACTTTTCGTTCATTCATTCAGCTAACATTGGTTAAACCCTCAATGTGCCAGGGACGGAGGTAGGCGCTGGGGATATGGATGTGAGCTGAAGGAGGACTTGCCTTCTGCCTTCGTGTAGTGAAAAACACAAATGGAGCAATGATCTGAATGTGGCCTGAGTGCCATGAGAGGGGGCACCCGGGGCAGTGATTGGACGGAGAGGGCACACCCGGCCCAGAGGTGGAGCTTCGGGAAGGCTGCCCAGATAACCCAATACTCTGATAGGCAGTGAAGGAATCCCCATGTCCCAAGGTAGGGTGCAGCGTGCTATAGACCACATGTTTATTCCTCTCTGAAGCCTGATGTTGACATACTAACCCCCAGGGGCTCCTGCATGGCTCAGTCGGTTAAGCATCCCACACTTGATTTTGGCTCAGGTCAAGATCTCCAGGTCATGAGATCGAGCCCTGTGATGGGCTCTGTGCTCAGCGGGAAGTCTGCTTGTTCCTTGTCCCTCTGCTCTTCCCCGTCCCCATCTCTTTCTATCAAATAAATAAATAAAATATTTTAGAAGAAGAAGGAGGAGGAGGAGGAGGAGGAGAAAAGGAGAAGGAGGAGGAGAAGGAGAAGGAGAAGAAGTCCTTACCCCCAGTATGATGGTTCTAGGAGGTGAGTAGGTCACGAAGATGATACCCTCCCAAATGGGATTGGTGTCCTTATAAAAGAGACCCCAGAGAGGTCCCTTCCCTTCTGTTCTGCCCTGTGAGGACACATCAAGAAGACAGCACCTGGACTGTCTCTGACCAGACGCTGAATTTGCCAGTGCCTCCATCTTGGGTGTCCCAGGGTCTAGACCTGTGGAAAGCAAATGTTTGTTGTTTAAAAATGGTATTTTTAGTATAGCAGCCAGAACCAGCTGAGACGGAAATCAAATGAGGTCATCTTTGTGAGTACATTTTGCAAAGTGGAAATGCAAGGTGCAGTGGCCAGCCGCTGTCCCCACAGCCTCCGGCTGCTTCTGTAAACCAGCCGTGATTCTGATGGGGCAAGAGGCCTCTGTTTTCCACATTGGTGAGCACAAAGAGCCTCGGACCGTGACACTGACACAGGTCCTTGGTTGCCGTAGTCTCTTGTACTCCCGTATGCCGTTCACTAAACAGGGCACAGAGTCTTTCTCGCTCTAAGGCCAGTGGCCAAGGTCCAAGATGCTGCTGGGGACACATTGCCCCTGCCAGCCTGGCCTGACCATGCTGCCGGCCAGGTGGGGCTTGTGAGACCAGTGCCCTTAATTTGTTCTGACGTCCAGCCACGGAGAGCGCCAATCCTCCAGGGAGTATGGAGAGCTTGTCCTGTCCCCCATTATCCACTGGAACCAAGGGTGAAGGCCAGAGCTCTGTCCTTCTCCTGCAGCCACCACCCTGGGTGGGTTGCTCGGAACACTGGCCCCAACTTCCCAGTCCCCATGTGTCTTTCTGTGTCACAGTCTATCATCACTAAGAGTCTCTTTCTACCAGGAAAGCCCTGCCATCCCTCCTGGGAGTCCCTCTATGTGTTCTTCTGGTCCCTGGACAAGGAAACCCAGACTTGTCAGCCAGGCCCACTGTCTCCTGCTCCTGGCCAGCTGCCTCGTCTCCTGCCATTTGTTCTACTCAAAGCCAATTCTGACCATTTGTTCCCACCAGGCCCCAAATGGGACCCCATACCACCTCCTGCATATAACTCCTGCCAATCTCTTAAATCTTTGTTAAATTGTCACTTCCTCCAAGAAGCCTACCGGAAACTGCCAGCCTTCTGCCCCTCGTGAGATCCCACAGATATGTATCTTCTACTAATCTTGCTGTATCAATGTGGCCACTCGCTGCCCTCCTTTATCACACCACACCCTGGGTATCCTGGGGAGTCTTTGGTGAAATGGAGACTGCAACTTATTGGGAGAGACGTTATGCAACAAGAAGGGTCCATATTGGCAACAAAAGTTTTATTCATCTTGCAGACGCCTAACTCTGAAGACCCCGCAAGGGCCACAGCTCCCTGCACGGCCCCTGCCAGGTGTGGGCAGAGCTGGGATCAGATGCTCTTGCTGAGGGAGCCCAGTCTCTGAATGAGAGGCAAAAGGGAGAAAGGTCTATGGAATCTGATGGATGCGGTGACTCTCCTAAAGAGATAGAATCTGCCTTTCTTCGTGGAAAATGCTTCTGCAGAGTCCAGTTCCCACAAAAGGTCCAGGGAAACCCAACCGGCCGCATGAATTCAGGGATTCCCCCGAATGCTGGTTCTGTGGCCCAAAAACTTTGGGAAATAATTATTTGAACCCAATTTACTGGGTTTCTTTTCAGCAGACTCCTTCAGGTCCTCAGGAGAATGAATGCATTGCAAATCTCCAAGAGGGAAGGAAGTATGAATACTAATGATGTTTACCTGGCCGCAGCATCTGATTCTGAGGAATACCTCTCAATGTCTTCTAGAATCACTGTTTCACGGAACACAGTTCAGAAAATGCTGCCCTAAAGATATTTATGAATTTAAGAATTTCCAAAGGGTCATATCTCCTAATAGCTAGATCTTTTAGAGAATTTTATTGATACTATTTCTTTTTTTTTAATTTTTATTTATTTATGATAGTTACACACACAGAGAGAGAGAGAGAGAGGCAGAGACACAGGCAGAGGGAGAAGCAGGCTCCATGCACCGGGAACCCGATGTGGGATTCGATCCTGGGTCTCCAGGATCGCGCCCTGGGCCAAAGGCAGGCGCCAAACCACCGCGCCACCCAGGGATCCCGATATTATTTCTTAATACATCATGGAGAATCTGCTTTTACGGAGGCAGTTCTGTTTTTTGTTGATGCCGTGAACCATGTATTCCTGTTTCCCTCATTACCATGGTTACCAGGGAGCTCAGAACTGAGCCCTGGCCCACATCCAGCTACTACCCAGGCTTCTGGAGGAGAATTTCTGTCTACTTATGTTTCCTTGTTACCATCTTATCTCTTCTCTTTTCATTTTCTCTGTCATGATTCCCTTGTTTATTTGTTGTAACCTTATTTTACTGATATGTCAAAACCCTTTTGAAAAAGAAGCAAGATGAGGACAACCTGGGTGGCTCATTTGTTTGAGCATCCAACTCTTGATTGCAACACAGGGTGTGATCTCAGGGTTATGGGATCCCGCATGGGGCTTTGGGCTCAGCGGGGAGTCCACTTGAGAGTCTCTCCCTCCGCCTACCACCACTCAAAACATAAATAAATAAATCTTTTTTTGAGAGGCAAGATGTGCATAAATCACTGTAAACAACTATAGTATTGTTAGCAATAATGACGACAAAAACACTTTGATTCCAAAGAAGAGGTGACTCTCCTTTGAGAGATATTAAGGACAAGCTCTTTTTGGATCAGGAAAAGAGGACCCAAGATGGGTTTCTTCCTGGGCTTAATTCTCACGTTTAAGTGTTTCTAGTCTTCAAAGTCAGAAGAAATGTCTGCTTCCCTCCCCCACTCCCTTGAGAAACTGAAACAAAACCACCCTCGAGATCAAATAGATTACGTTAATGACATAGAGAAGAGAGGATGGTCTGTGCCCACTCCCTGAGCTCCCCAGACAACAGGCTTTTGTGCTCAAGGGAGAGACGGGGGGACGGGGGGCACTTGACAAGTTGCATCCACTGGACAGAGTATGCTGGGCTGACACTCCTGCCCTCCAAGACTCTGTAAGTTGAGTGGACCGAGGGCCATTGATTCTCGGCCACTGCCCCCGCCACTGAGGACCCCTGCCTGCTCAACTCCTGGGGCCTTTTGAGGACCCAAAGGAGAAGTTGAGTCTTCAGATGGCCCTACCTTATTTGAATGTTCTTTCTCTAGACAAACTCAATCTAATCCTCTTCCCTTCCGACAACCTGACTGTGACGTGACATACGTATGGTAATAACTCTTTTGCCTGCCCATCTTTCCTGAGCTGGAGCTGCAGACTGTCACCTACAGAGCCCCTTGTCCCCATCTTTGGACAATAGCCATGTTCTTCCTCATAGCGATTCCCTCACGAGTGGTCACCCAGGAGGAGACCACCGGCTGCCTATATACCTTTAGAGTTCTCTTTGGAGGCCATGAGCCCCTGGCGGGGGGGAACAGAACCAACTGTCTCTCTCTTCCATGGTGCACACACCCTTTCCCCCAGACACTGAAGGGCACTGCTGGCAAGAAGAGCCATGGATATGAAGACAGCTGTATGCATGAAGCTGGGGAAGGTATCACCCAGACCCTGATGGACAGTAAAAACTGCCCGAACCAGGTCTTCCCTCTCTGAGCCTATAAACACACCTGATGCCACATCATTCTCAATCTCCTTGGCAGTGCATCCCAGCAGGTGTGGGCTCGCTAAAGACTAGAACTCGTGGAATTCATGAATTTGTGTCTCTGCCAGTGCCTGCCTCTGAGTATGATCTAATGAAACAGGAGGAAAGATAATAAAAATAAAAAAATTTAAAAAAAGGAAGAGAGAGCAAGGCCTTCAGAGTTTGGGGAGGTCAGACATTTTAGTCATGACCTCCATCAGTCTTCATAAAACCCTGAAATGTTTGGATGTTATCATTAATCCATCTTAGAAAGGAGGACATGAAGCTCATCTAGAAAAGAACCAGTTGAGTTGGGACCACCCTCCAGACATTTCCATGGCCCTGGCTCTCCAGCTGTACCCAGGGCCAACCAGGAGTTTCAGCTTCATCCCAGAAGCAGTGGACCTTGAAATCTTTTTGAAAACTTGTGAGTTGAGTTTGCAAAGCAGTGTTCAAATCAGAATAGGGATTTTCCACCATAGAATTGGCCACAGCCCCAACTGGACCCCAAAGACATACGCTTAAAGCAATCATATTTATTGGACACTTAAATCAGAAAAATCTAGAAAACAGGGATGCCTGGGTGACTCAGTGGTTGAGCATCTGCCTTTGGCTTAGGTAGTGATCCCAAGTACCTGGGATTGAGGCCCCCATCGGGCTCTCCACTGGGAGTCTGCATCTCCCTCTCCCTGTGTCTCTGCCTCTCTTTCTGTGTCTCTCATGAATACATAAAATCTTTTTTTTAAAAAAAGAAAAATCTAGAAAACAGAGATTTTTTCCCCCATTCTTCTCTACACTTAGAGTAGAGTCCTTCTGGAAAGCCCAGACCTCATTCCACAGGCATCTTCAATTCTCCTGGGGAAAAGAGGAAAGGAAGTTCAAGCCTATCGGCCAGGGCAGCTCACTTCAGGATAACAAGGCCTCATCAGGCCGCCATGGGCATGCACCGAGAAGACCCCTGAGGCCACAGACACCACCCCCTGCCCACTGGGCACCAGCATCCCGACGGGAAGTTGGAATAGAAATAAAGTACTCACAGGTTCACCACGTGCAATGAGAGGTTTACATGGGGGCCGTGAAAGTTTGGCTAACCCTTGGTTGTAAAAACTGCAAAGGGCTTTATTTGTGGCTGTCCCTTCAGTGGGTGTCTGCTCCAGGGAAAAAAGCAAATCTTTGTGAGGGACCTATTGGTTCCTGTGTACGACTTACTTGGCTCAAAAGAAAAAAAAAAAAGTCGTTTAAACGATTTAATTGGCCTAATTTGTGTTCTTAAAAAATGAAAATGCAAAAACTGAGATTTTATGGGCAGTGTTACATTTTTAATGGGCAAGTATCCCAGGCCGGTACTTTTAATTGGAAAATGTCAAACAGCTGGTTGTTTTTGGCTCAGAAATAAGAATACCTACCATTTGCTGGAGGGCCACAATTCACGAAGTACCTCGTGTCAGTCGTGGTGCTTGCTGCTAGCATGTGCTGAGATTAAATGGCGATGTCCGTATTCATCTTCCGTATTCATCTTCACTCCGCTGTGTTCCAAAGGTGGCTTGAGACAACTGGTAGCCTTGCTGGTACAACCCACGGGTGTGAGGCCTTGCTGACATAAGCTCTATTCCAGAAGGTGCGGCCAGGAACTGGGAGCATTCCCACCACTGAGACTTTTCCCAAACATAGCATTTGCGCCTTCCTACCGCGATTATCTTAAAAGGCCTGGAAATTCAGGCTAGTCCCACACTTCTTGGCCATTGCTGGAGCATGAAGGACCCTGTTACCTCGCCTGAAGCTGGGTACGCTGGGACAAGTGTGGAGCTGGGGGCAGGGGCGCCCCAGTGTCCCCTCCTTGGCCAGCATTCTCCTCGATGCCTTAGGCCACGTCTTTGTCCTCCCTGAGCTTTCGTTTCTTCATGGGCAGAGACTGAACCCTGCCAGGTCCAGTTCTCAGCATCACTCCAGGGCTGCTGTGAGATCATGCGAGAGAAAGGCATTACCGTGCTGTTGTCGTCCGAGACCTCCATGTCAGGAGGCCTGGCTACCAACTGCAGCTCCATCTCTTGCTGTGAAACCTTGGACAGGTTATTTCTTCCTTCTCAGCCTTTATGCCCACATCTGTAAGACAAAGGTGGTGAAGGCCGATGTTCTTGGTCAGTGGACCTCGAGTGTAGCCTTCAGACGAGCACGAGATGAGGAGCTTATATTCAGTGCTAGAATATAAATCAATACCCTCCCCTCCTCATTGAGAAAGTCTTGCTGTGAAAAAGAAAAAGAAGAAAGAAAGAAAGAAAGAAAGAAAGAAAGAAAGAAAGAGAGGAAGGAAGGAAGAGAAACAAGGAAAAAAGCCAGCTAACCTAGACAGTAGGCCACAACGATTCCAACGACATTCTTATCCTACTTACAAGATACACAGGGACCTAGGAAATGGGTTTGATTCAGAATTATTGCTATCCAGGTGGGGCCACTGTTCTAATTAGCCAACAGGGCTTCGTGGGGGACTTCACATAGCCCAGCAGGGCTTCAGGTCACCACAGTGGTCCCTGCCCACTTCCAAACTTGAAACTGCCCAGAAGCTTCCAAACTTGGCAGAGAGACGAGGCACGAGCAAAAGTTTATCAAGAACGGGCCAGACCTCTAGCTGAGGGACTGGCAGCAAGCAGCCCTACACGAGGCCCATCGGTAGAGGAGCCATGGAGAGGAAGTTCACTGAGATGGCACAAGTAGGGAGGGCTTTCTAGATGACGTGGCATTCTCACCAGGGTCGTTAGAGTTAACATGCCGCTAAGTTAAATTTGGACAGGTCCAGGAACACAGTGCCTCACACACATTACCCTTGAGCTCATTTTTCCATAATCTAGAAATGAGTTCTGGGACTCATTTGTGGGAGACCAGCCAACTTTCTCAGGCAGCTGATCTAGACTTCCGACGTATAGTTCGATTCCCGTGAACACCTTGATACCCTTGTGTATATACCTCCATAGGCAAGCATCAATGTACACATCTACATGGATGTACGCTAGCATCTCTGCAGGGGGGATCCCAACTGTTGTTTTCCGTGATGCCTCTGCCCCCGCAGCCACGTTCTCAGCTGGGACTCAGACCTGCTCGTGAAACACAAACCTGTTCTCGTGTGTCGTCAGCTCCATCCCCTCTGTGCTCAGTTTGCTGTGACAACTGGAAAGTGAGATGCACAATCGGCCCCTTTGTTCATTTTCCACACTTCACTGTAAAGAACAAGAAATTATTAGGGAAAATATGGGGGTGTATAGGCTGGGAAACTCATTTCTCCCCTGTAGCTCAAAATTTTGCAATTTGAGGGTATTTGTCATATTTTCAATCACCTGATGATAATTGGCTAGGGCCGTATCTGCCTGCATGGTAATCTTATTTCGCCTTCTGGGGTACAGGCATGAACTTTCTTTCTCCTTGTCTCTGAATTTCTTTTCATCTGTCTGTCCTTTGGTGGACTATTCTTTTTTCCGTCTTTATGGTTTTTCTACGCAATCCGTTGACCACATGATTGCTTAAATTTAACTTCCAACTTTCAAACTGCTGTGCATGTGTCTGCTTGCGTGTGTGTGGCTTCCGCCCCACCCCCGCCTAGAAAGGAAATATTCCCATGGGAAAAGATAAGTGTGAAACAAGGGTGGCTAGGGTCCTATCTTTGAGGTGTCCAGACTCATACAAAGAACTTTTTAACGAATTGTTTTTCCTCAAAAAAGGAAGACATGTGTAGTCTCTCCCCCAGAGGGTTCTGAATTCTTGGCTAAGGAGGCTAGAAAGAGAACGCTTCCAACTCTTCTCCCTTCAAATCCGAAATCTTTGAAAGCTATGCAAGGATAAAGCAATGTTTTCTTGTAAATTTTGTGACAAGAAGTCTAGACTTTTTGAATCTGAGACACATTTGAGCTTACGAAAGGGGCGAATCGCCTTGGGTTTTCGGGGGCCATTCTAGAATGCTTGGGAAGGGCTCCCTTTATTCCTGGCCCGCCTTTGATGCCACATGACCTTTGACTCTGATCAATGCATCCTCCTCCTGGAGCAGCAGACAGGAGATGAACTCTCTCAGCGCCCAGAGGAAGAGCGGGCAGTTTGGCCCTGACCTCTCGCCCTGGCCCTAACCTCACTGATAATTGAGTTTTCCATCCGTGCTCATCAGCAGGGTCGAAACACAAAGAAATAAGCCCCTCCTGACTCTGTCGTTGCCCAGATGAAACCTCGAGCCAAATCTGTTCAGCTCACACCGATATCCGGCGCGGGAACGCACACGAGGGGCCGTGTATCGGGGGGCCCGGCTCCCCCATTCCAGCCTGGGCCTCCTGGCACTCCCACATCCCTGCTCCAGGCTGTGTGGCTCCCACAGCCTTTGCTCCTCCTCACGGAGAGCTGAGAGACAGAGACAGAGACAGAGACGGGGGGGGTGGGCCTCATCTCCTTGAAAGATTGCACAGCCACCTACAACACCTGGCCCCTTGGGGCCTTCTGTAAAAGTGTGTTTCCCAGACTCTCCTTGAAGATGAAAATTTTAAGACAATTTAGAAGAAATTTTCTCCACCTCACCTTCGATCTTCGTAAAAGTTCTTATTTTAGAATAAAGTGAGCGATCAATAGGCTTCTTCGGAGCACTTCCAACCCTAGATTTGCCCTCCTGGAGGAAGCTGTGGATGGCTAGCTTCACGGCCACGGCTGGCTGCATTGGACATGGTAGGTGCTGGCTGGGGACACAGGGACACACGGGTCTGTCTGCAGCTTGCGGCTCCCCTGGGACTGGTTTGAGGGGAGTCAGGGGAGAGGCCCTCCCTGTGTTGCTTGTGAATAATAACCACCTCATCAGCGTGATGCTTTCCCACCTTGCAGTTTGCACAGTCTCCTCTGACCCCCCACAGCCCCACCGAGGGAACTGAATGACATCCCAAGACACCGAAGGGCTGCAAGCTTCTCGGTCACCCAGGCCTGGAAAAGGTGAAGCAGAGAGTTGAAGCCAAGGTTGCAGATTCTGCGGCCCACGAACTCTCTGGAGCATCTCGATGCTGCAGGAGGAACACTCCAGGAATGCAGAAGAAGGAGGAGGCTTCCAGGCTCTGATAAACACCTAAGGAAACAGAAGCAAGATGGAGCAGCGATGGCCAGAGGAAGTGGTGGAGACCTGACTTCAGAGGATGGAGAGGCTGTGGCTGGAACTTCCTAGGAGAGGAAGGTCCTCCCCGGAACCTCAGGACGGAGCAGCACAGAAAGAGCGAACCAAGAATGGTGGAGGGAGAAGTCAGCTCAGGGACAGTGGCCAGGCTGGTCAGTGGATGCCACAGTCCGGCAGTCCCGACGGTGAAGCACTTAGAGATGGAGGGAGGCACCAGGTGTGTAGGGCCTTTGCTGTCGGGCCAGGAGTTGGGGCTTTCTTCCAGACCCTCCTGGAGTAACTACTGCAGAGCTATGATATGTGTGTGGCATTAATACAATGAGAATATTTTCCCATTTGGAAACTGAAAAGTGAAAAACCTCATCCGAAACAATGCCTGGTCCCTGGGCCTGCCAGTGGTCTTCCCAAAGCTGGGACCTATCGGCATAAAGAACTCCTTGCCCTCATTGCTACCTGCCCTCCTGCCTGGGTGGTATGAAGCTCCCGAGGCCCTCCCTAGACCTCCAACCTCTGAAGTCCCTGTGCTGCCTGTTTGGAGGTAGAGGGTCTGGAAGTGAGGCAAGAAACTGTATTTTTACCCAGTGCCCACAGGTGGTTATTGGCCGTGGACACGTAAAAAGAAGAAACACAACCATAAAAACCACCCAGGGCACTGGCAAATAACAGGGCACCTCCTGGAAAGACTGAGACAGTAGGTCTGGTGGCGGGGGAACCAAGGATCGGGATTTTTAACAAAAGCTGAGATAGAATTAGGGTAGGCCAAGAGGTGGGTCATGCAAGTGTAGGGTTAGATCCTTTCTTTATTTAAAAGTTTGCTCTGTTGCTCATCATAGGTATGTTTGCACTTATTTGTTTTGTTTGTTTGGTAAACGTATTTTACTTAAATTCACTTAGTTAACATAGAGCCTACCATTAGCTTCAGATGCAGAGTTCAGTTATCCATCTGTTGTATAAAACACCCAGTGCGGGACACCTGGGTGGCTCAGCGGTTGGGCGCCTGCTTTCGGCTCAGGTCGTGATCCCAAGATCCAGAATCGAATCCCGCATCGGGCTCCCTGTGAGGAGCTTGCTTCTCCCTCTGCCTTGTCTCTGCCTCTCTCTCAGGCTTTGTCTCTCATAAATAAATTAATAAATTAATTAATTAATAAAACACCCAGTGCTCATCACATCACGTGCTCTCCTCAATGCCCATCACCTAGTGACCCCATCCCACCCCTGCCCTCCCCTCCAACGACCCATGGTTTGTCTCCTCTGATTTCAGCTTGTATTATTTTTTCCTCTCTTCCCCATGATCCTCTGTTTTGTTTCTTAAATTCCACATATGAATGAGATCATATAATAATTGTCTTTCTCTGATTTATTTCACTTAGCATAATTCCCTCCCATTCTTTTTTTTTGAATTCCCTCCCATTCTATCCACATTGATGTAAATGGTAATTCATCCTTTCTTTTTTTTTTTTTAAGATTTTATTTATTCATGAGAGACACAGAGAGAGAAAGAGAAGCAGAGACACAGACAGAGGGAGAAGCAGGCTCCCTGCAGGGAGCCCGACGTGGGATTCGATCCCAGGTCTCAAGGATCATACCCTGGACTGAAGGCAGCGCTAACCCGCTGGGCCACTGAGGCTGCCCGAATTCATCCTTTCTGATGGCTGAGTAAGATTCTATAGTGTATATACACCACATCTTCTTTATCCATTTATCTGTTGATGGACATCTGGGCTCTTTCCATAGTTTGGTTATTGTGGACATTGCTGCTATAAACAATGGGGTGCAAGTGCCCTTTCGGATCACAATGTTTGTGCCCTTTGTGCTAATTTATGATATTCTCTATCTCAGTGACTGACTTTTTTGGCCCTCCTTAAATTTTGCACCCAAAATGAGTTCCTCACTCTCCTCACCTGATCCTAGCCCTGAACAAAAGCCCCGGGTGGTCCTGAGTCCAATCACTGGCACCACCTTCCAGGTTCTTCCCTACACTCTGGCCTCATAGGCCTCCACTCTTCACATTTTCTATGGCCTCAGCAATAGACACAGGCTCTGCACCCCTACTGCACCCACTCTGAGGATTAGCTCTCAACTGGACCTTTGGACCTGCTGTCCTACAAAGTCCTTATTTCCTCTGGGATCCTCACTCCCCCTGGTCAACTCCTCCTCCAGGGTCACCATGGCCTTCTTCCTGTACACAGCACTAGAAGCCCTGCAACATACTCTCCCATTTAAATCACTGACCCCCCAACACCTCCAGAGGAGAATAGTTTTTGCACACACCTCCACGATAGGACTATCTCACCATCCCAGGATTTCTCTGTGCCTGTGAGCCCTGGTTCAGAAAAAGAAAACAACCGTAGATTCCCTCACACCTAGAACATATGCTGGCACTCAGGATTTTGATGAATGAATGAATGAATGAATGAATGAATGAATGAAAGTCAAAGTGCAATGGGATGAGCATAGACTTTGGTCTCACAATACAAACTTGAGCTTGAATCCATATCCACCACTGACTACCCTAGTGCTCCTGACAGAGACTTAGAATCTCCAGGCTCTATTTCTTTATCTGTGAAATGGGCCTGATAAAGCCACCCTTCAGGGTTGTAAAAATCACAAGTACCTGGAACACAGTAATGGATGTTGCATAAACTTAGAAAATACTAGGGATCAGAGAGTAGATCTTCCACTCTAACCATCTTCTGGTGCTCTGAGGGGTGTGCACTAGTATCCTCTGAGGCTGGCTGTTGTGGTTCTTGTATCATGCCTGAGTTTGGTTTGATGGGTGATTAATAATGAGCAAGACTTAGGTGAGAATTGGTCCCCAAATCAACTATATGGTTTGCACAATCTAAAGCCAGACATAGGAAAGAATTAATGTGGGTCTTTGTTGGATTGCACTGATTTACCCCAAATTTCAGGATCATCATCTGGTGCCTGTGCTTGTGTGTGGTGGCACTCTGCTAGGGAGACTCCTATATACCATCACAGATAGAGTCTCCCAAAGTCCCTTGAAGGCCTTAAATGTCACAAAAAAAGATCTTACTCTGGAGTAGATTTATCCTGACCCTCCCCATATTAGTAGAGTTTTCTAGA